GTCTCGCACAGAGACCCGTAGACTCGCACAGAGACCCATAGACTCGCACAGAGACCCATAGACTCACACAGAGACCCGTAGACTCTCACAGAGACCCGGAGTCTCACACGGAGACCCGGAGCCTCGCACAGAGACCCGTAGACTCACACAAAGACCCGTAGCCTCGCACGGAGACCCATAGACTCACACGGAGACCCAAAGTCTCGCACAGAGACCTGTAGACTCGCACAGAGACCCGCAGACTCGCACAGAGACCCATAGATTACCCCAAACACTCTCCCACGATCCGCTCTCAGGTCTTCCTCTCGGTCAACGGACACATGGAGACCACACTTCTACGCACGTCTTCAGGATTTGCGCATCGCTTATCGCCGTCTCGCCGCGGAATTCCCAGCATTCCCTCTCAAAGACGCCCGTGGGCCAAAACGCCTTCCTCGGGAGCTGCCTCCATAGCTCGGGCCCATCTCTCGGAGGAGCGTACAAAACAACGTTCCCACAGTGCTCGTGTGCACAAGGAGCCGTGCTCGAGTGAGGCCCCGTGTCTGTGACAGAGCGGAGGTTCACAACGGACTGGTCTCCCCTCGCCGCTCGCTGGGGCATGCGGTCCCTACGGAACCGGCGACACCGAATTCCGATTCCTGCTCACGGTCACCAAGACCCGCGCCGATTACCTGAACCGGTACCTGGGCCGGCCCCCCCCCCCCCCCTCCCACCCCCCCCCCACCTAAGTCGACTCGGCCTCAATGAGCATCTGGTGCGGTGGCGCCTGTCCCGCCCGTCCCGCCCGTCCCGCGCTCCCCGAACCGCCGTTTTCCCCAAGCAGACATTTTAAAAACACGCACGCCGCGTGTAACGTTGACGCGCGGACGCAGGCAGCATTCCTGCGTCCGCGCAAAAGCCGCAGCGACGCTCGCGACGACAAAGCCGCCGGCGATTGCGACGAATGCGGAAGGGCGGAAGAAACTTCGAAATTCGCGAACTTATTTTTCTCTCTACGCCGTCGACGCCGCCGTCGTCGCCGTCGTCGCCGTCGTCGCTGTCGTCGCCGCCGTCGTCGGTGTTTCAGCGCGACCACTGCGCAGGCGTTTGCCGCGCGTCGTCGCGGGCACGGCTTGCGAGGGAGCCATTGCCAAACGGTTCCCCGCAGGAGCTCCCCGGCGGGCGCGCGGCGAAACGCTTGGGGCATCGCGCGGAACAACGACGGCGGCGACGATGACAACGACGACAACGACGACATCGACGACGACGACAACGACGACGACATCGACGACAACGACGACAACGACGACAACAACAACAACAACAACGACGACGACAACGACGACAACGACAACGACGACAACAACAACAACAACGACGACAACAACGACAACAACGATGACAACAACAACAACAACAACGACGACAACGACGACAACGACAACGACGACGACAACAACGATGACATCGACGACAACGACGACAACGACGATGACAACAACAACAACAACAATAACGACAACAACGACAACAACAACGACGACGACAACAACAACGACAATGACAACGACATCGACGACAACGACAACAACAATGACGATGACAACGACAACAACAACGACAACAACGATGACGACAACAACGACGATGACAACAACGACAACAACAACAACGACAACAACGACGACAATAACGACAACAACGACAACAACAACGACGACGACAACAACAACGACAATGACAACGACATCGACGACAACAACAATGACGATGACAACAACGACAACAACAACGACGACGACAACAACAACGACAATGACAACGACATCGACGACAACGACAACAACAATGACGATGACAACGACAACAACAACGACGATGACAACAACGACGACAACAACAACGACAACAACGACGACAACGACAACAACAACAATGACAACAACGACGACAACGACGACAACGACGACAATAACGACGACGACGACAACGACGATGACAATAACGACAACAACAATACCAACAACAACAACAACAACAACAACGACAACAACGATGACGACAACAACGACGATGACAACGACGACGACAACAACAACGACAACGACATCGACGACAACAACAATGACGATGACAACAACGACAACAACAACAACGACGACAACGACGACAACAACGACGACAATAACGACGACGACAACAACAACAACAACAATACCAACAACAACAACAACACCAACAACAACAACGACGATGCCGACGACGACAAAGCGCGACCCCAAAAAACACGATCGCAGTTTGGCCCTTTGCCGGTGACGGCCCGGAGCGAACTCTTGGCGCGCTTGACGAGCGAGAGGGGGAGGGTGCCGGGCGCTTGGCGTTATTACCGGGGGGGGGGGGGGGGGTTTCCCCTTTTGCCACTTGAGCATTTGATCGACTGCCAAAGCGGCTTGGCAGGGAGCAGCAGCAGCAGCAGCAGCACGCGCGGGCCGGGGAGACACCTGGCCACCGTCCAAGTGCTACGCGCGGTGACGGAGAGGGGATACCCCCGGAGCAAGGAACACCCGCGAAGGGCACGCACAAGAGACACAACACACACGAGCACACAGAGAGACACGCGCACGCGGACATACACGCGCAGACATACACGATGTGCCCCCACGCACACACACGCACACACTCTCACACAAAGATCCCCCCGGATAGCCTTAAAATAATTTTGGGGCGAGCGCTGCGTGCGAGTGGCGCCTACGAAGGCCGGCACGGCACGCAAGGAGGTGCGTGGGCCAGCACCACACCCGGGCCGCCTTTGCCTCCCCGGTGGTGCTGTTCACGGACTCGCAGACGTGCACGCGCACACACGCACACGCATGCCCACGCACGTACAAACGACAACCGCGGAGATCCCCACCACGTGGCTTACACAAAATGCTCGGGGCGAGCGGCGTACGGGGAGCAGCATCGACGACGGGCGGCACGAGAGCGGGGGAAGGGGGTGTGTGTGTGTGTGTGTGGCCGGAACCACACCCACGGGGTGAACTTTGTCTCCCCGGCCGTGATGATTGCCCACCGCGCAAAGCCTCGGTCCAGCGACGGGAGCGCAAGGACCGAGATTCCCGATAGCTCATCAACCGTCGGCAAGTTCGTAGCGCGGTGTGCCCACCGCTGCGCCACCGCTCCCCCGGCGTGCGCGAAGTTACAAAGTTCCCCCGGCGTGCAGCCTGTACCAGACCGTGTGGGCGAGTGTGCCGTTCGCGAGTAGCGGCGCCTACGAAGGCCGGCACCGTGGCGCACGAGGGGGTGGGTGGCCAGCACCACGCCCGGCCGCCTTTGTCTCCCCATTGCTGAAGTTTTGCGCACCGCCCCACCTTGGAACGCCTCGGACATCACTCGCCGTTAGCCGCGGGGTCGAGTGGCGCAGCGCGCTGACCACCCGCGCCACCGCTCCTCGCGCGGGCACGCGCGGGCACACACACGGGCACACACACGGGCACACACGCGCACACACGCGCACACACGCGCACCCCACACACCGCGGGGCCTTCCTTTCTGGCGAGCCGCTCAGACCCCCGGCCGGAGTTAAATCCACGTGCCGCTCGTGTGCGCGCTCACTCACGAGAGTGCTCTCTCTCTCTCTCTCTCATGAGAGCGCTCTCTCTCGCTCTCTCTCGCACTCTCTCTCTCTCTCACTCTCTCTCTCTCGCCCTCTCTCTCTCTCTCACTCTCTCTCTCTCGCTCTCTCTCTCTCTCTCACTCTCTCTCTCTCGCTCTCTCTCTCTCTCTCACTCTCTCTCTCTCGCCCTCTCTCTCTCTCTCATGAGAGCGCACTCTCTCTCTCTCGCTCTCTCTCTCTCGCTCTCTCTCTCGCTCTCGCTCTCTCTCTCTCTCGCTCTCTCTCTCTCTCTCTCGCTCTCTCTCTCTCTCGCCCTCTCTCTCTCTCGCTCTCCCTCGCGAGCGAGCGAGAGAGCCGGGAAGCTCTTTTGTTCAGAAGCGACCTGGCCCGCCGAATGACGGCCTGACCAAGAGGCTCGTCGCCCACACACGTGTAGAGCGGTAGCCGAGTTGCTCTAAACGCGCGACGTTCATTCTAAACGTGGAGGGGAAAACCGGAGGACCCGGAGGAAAATCCTCGCGACCACGGAGAGAGAGAGAGACACGAAAACTCCAAATATACAGCAGGCGTCAGGGTTGGGATCGAACCCACGGACCTCCTGTATATCAGGCGAGGTGGTTAACATCTCCGAGCCACCGTACACGTCACACACACACACACACTCGCTCGCTTCACTTCACAAGTCTGTCCAACTTCCTCCTCTTAGCTATGCCGCATCCGCACAGCCCCCTCGCACCACCCCCGGCGCCCCACTCCAATCCCCCACCCCCCCCCCCCCACACAACAGCCCCTCCCCTCAGTCCCTATAGCCCCACTTTTTCCAGTGGAACAGACACAGACCGGGATTGGTGCAGGGACATGGGGGCAGAGGGCGGGTGAAGTACAAATTATCTTTTATTTTGTACGGATTAAAGAAAGAGGGTTCTACTTACCGCGGTGCAGCTGCGTGGTTTGTACAAATTATCCGGAGATTAAATTACGATCGGCCACAGACGAAGGGGGCAAACAGTGAACCGTTCCGAGTGATTTTTCTGTGCCGATTTGATTTTCGCCCCGGCGGTAAAACAAAACAACTTTCGGAACTTTCACCCCGGCAGGCGAAATCGAGGGGGCCGAAGCTGTCGGGAATGTCGAGGGGCAACTGTGGCACAAATTCTAGCGGCGATCCCACCACCACGCGCACACACACACACACACGCACGCACGCGCATCCGTGCGTGTCTCCACGTGCGCATGCGTGGACACGCAAATACGCACGGACGCGCGGATACACACCGACACCACACAGACACTACCCGCAACTCCGATTGGCACGCCCGGCTACGTGGGGCGCGAAAGGAGTCGGACACGCGCGACGTACACCACACACGCGCACGGACACACACCACGCCGGTGCCAGCGCGGGTACCTGCTTGAACTGCTCCTCGTAGGTCCAGTCTTGGGCCTGCGACGGCTGGGGCCCCTCGGCTCCGGGCGACAGAGGCTGCCCGCCGCCGCCGGCCTCGAACGCCAAGTGCCGCGCCACCGACCCGCCGGCCGCGGCCCCCGACCCGCCGAGCCCCCCGCCGGCCAGGTGCAGCGCCAGCCCAGCCGCCGCCGCCGGCGGCTTGGACGAGGGCGGCCCCGCGGCGGGGCCGGGCCCGCCCGGCGAGCGTCGCTCGTAGTCGCCCTCCTCCATCGCGTCGTCCCCGTCGTCCTCCCCCTCGTCGTCCCCCGGGTCCTCCTCGTCGTCCTCCGCGTCCTCGTCCGCGTCCTCCTCCGGGTCCTCGTCCTCCTCGTCGTAGTCGCTGGCCACGCGCCGGCCCGGGTGCCCGTGCCGCAGCGGGTGGTAGCGCTCGTACCCCGAGAACTCGGACGGCGCGCCCGGCACCGAATCGGCGTCGCTGTCGCCGTCGCCGTCGCCGTCGGCGCGCGGGCGATGCCGAGGGACGGCGCTCCCGGACCTCGAGCCTCCGGCGCCGCCGGACGCGACGGCCGCGGCGGCCGCGCTGAGCGCGGCGGCGCGCAGCACGGCGTACTGCTGCTGCTGCTGCTGCTGGTAGAGGTGCTGCTGCTGCTGCTGCTGCTGCTGCTGCTGCGCTTCGCGGATGTCCCTGTCGCGCAGGCGCTCGCGCTCGCGCTCCTCCATCTCGAGTCGCGCCTGCTGCTGCCGCTGGAGGTTCTCCATGACGGCCTCCAGCTTCATGCCGTGGTTGGCGGCTGCCGCGGCCGCGAGGTGGGAGCCCCCGGCACCCGCGATCATGCCCAGGCCGCCCGACGAGGCGAGGGCCTGCTGTGCGTGTGCGTGTACGGGGGGGGGGGGGGGGCGTGTACGGGGGGGGGGGGGGGGAGGAGGTGGCGGAGGAGTTGGTGGGGTGGGTAGAGAACGAGGAAGGAGAAGGATGGAGAGGAGTTATAACAAAGTAAGGGATAGAGAATGAGGGATAGGGGAATGAAAGGGTGCGAGGTAGAGGAGGAGAGGGAGAGACGGAAGAAATTAACAGAGAGCAGAGGGAGGAACAGCCCGGGACGAGAATGATGGAGAGGAGAGCAAAACGGAACAAAGGTCGACCAAGAGAGTGGATGAAAGGAGGAACAGAGAGAGAGAGAGAGGCAGGAGAGACAAAGAGAGAGAAAATGAGAGTGCTCGCAAGAGGAAGTAGGTGGAGAGTTCAAATGAATAACGGTGTGAGAGTGTCACAGCCATGCGGACAAGCAGAGCGAGGTGGCAGGCGGGGGGGGGGGGGTAGCGGCGGTGGAAACGCACGCGAGAGGGAAATTAAAAACGGGAACAGCAGAAATGAAGATTGAAACACGGAAACAGGAAGAGATGGGGGGGGGGGGGGAACCACGCAAGAAACTCGCGGGGGGCGAAGCGATGAAGTCCAAGGAGTGAGAGAGAGATAACGAGGTGGAGACAGTGAGGATGAGCCAATGGCGGAGGAGGAGGATAACGGCGGGAGGTTCGTGACGAGGGTAGTTGAGAGTGGGTGGGAAGTTCGCGCACAGAAACACACGGAGAGGGCGTCCCGTTAACACCACAGCCACAGCGCTTCGAGTTGCATCAGCAGCAGCTGGAGCAGCAGCACCCAGATTTAATGGTCTTGGTGGCTAGATGTTAACAACCTCGCCTGGTACACAGGAGGTCGTGGGTTCGATCCCGACCCTGACGCCTGCTGCTGCAGCTGTATATTTGGAGTTTGCGTGTCTCTCTTTGCCCATGGTCGCGTGGATTTTTTCCCCTCCACATTTAGAATCGACATCACGCGTTCAGATTATTTGGCTGCTATAATTTTACACACGACAATCCACTTGGTCGAGTTATCATTTGTGATAGCCAGATCGCTTCTGAAAAAAATAGCTATACAGCTGAGTGGGCTACACCTGATAAAACAGAAAAAATACTTTAGAAAATAAAACTATTGTAAATAAGATATGTGTTTAAAATGTTTTTATGTTACGGTCACGGGTAGGAGTGGTGGTGGTGGGATCCACGGTTCAGAGGTCAAGGTCCTATTCAACACCCGAATGTTTTGGCTCATCGTTCCGTGGTGAAGTATGGTCATACAACCGCCCATGAACAACGCAGCACATGGGGAGGGCTTCATCCAGCAGTGAACTGGACACAGAGCTGCTTATTATTCTTACTGTAATATCGTATTAATTACTAACGCTACAGGTGCACAAAACCTCACCGTGATACAATTAAGTTCTGTTTAATACACACCATCAACACACTGAAGGGTAAGCTCACTTAATAACACGGCTTGCCAGTTTGCATTATTATTTTTGTTGTTAATCGCAGTAATTATGACGACTCCACCCTCCTAGGTGCACATCACGAATGTTTAAGGGTAGAGGGCGCACTGCGGTACAGTTTATTAATTGCCAAGCGTGATGACGGTGCCAATTGCTTATGTAATTATCATTACGTCACTGCACTGATATACTTCAAAGTAAAGCAGAGGGCTAAATCGATGATCCGGCAAATCAGCGATCTGCTCCACTCACTCACCGGCGGTCAGTCACCTCCTTGTGACTCTTCTATTGCTACTACTACCACTGTGGCCACCCTTCGGTCTACCACCCAGACACCGACTGTTTTGTCTCAGCCGTACTGTGTTCAACCACCACCACCACACTGCAGGTCACAACACACTCACCTCACTCATACACACACACACACATTTACCCACACTCCCGAAACGCTCACTCACGAATTCACTCACTCAGTGGCCACACACCGCAGGTCACCCGACTTCCCCTCTCCGCTTCTTCCCTCGCGCCGCTCCACTTTCTATCCCAAGCTCTCACGATAACCTTCAACTCAACCCCGAGGAGCCCACGGACGGCACAAACCCAGTACTTGCACGGTTACCGCGGACAGGGCTAACTACTCGTCACCGGGCCGCTTTGCGCATCGGTGACGTTGGACCTCTGCCCGGGGCGGACACAAACCCGAGGCCGTCGCACCGGGCCAACTTCGGCACGGCGACACGAATAATCGGGCTCGCCGCTCGACTCCCCCACCGCGGAACGCCCTGCGCCAGACAGGTGCTCAATTAAACTGGAACTCTGCCCCCCCCCCCACGCACGTACATTTAGCGCGGTGCGTTTCGGGGCGGTGATCGCGGGGGGCAGCGGTAGCTTTGTTTTTTTTACCGCCCGTTCGTAGGGGTTCGTGGTTCGGGCCCTGGTTACCACTACGGGGGGGGGGGGGGGGAGCATCTACTGTAAAAAAGTATGACGGCGCACTCCGCTTCGCAGTGGAACTCAGAGATGCTGTGGTCTCCCTTGCTGTTGTTGGAAAGGGGGCAGGCCATTGTGAGGGTGCCACGGTGGCTAGGAGATGTTAACTAGCTCGCCTGGTATGCAGGCCGTGGCTTCGATCCCGACCCTGACTCCTGCTGTATATTTGGAGTTTGCGTGTGTCTCGCTCTCTCTCTCTCTCTCGCTCTCCCCGTGGTCGCGTGGATTTTTCTGCGGGTCCTCCGGTTTTTCCCCTCCGCATTTGGAGTCGACATCACGCGTTTAAACTAAGCTAAGAATTTCCATGCGACGATAAGACACTTCGTTGAGCTATCATTTGTGATAGCCAGGTCGCTTCTGACAAAGAAATATGGCTCAGTGGGCCTTACCTGGTGAAATAAAAAGTTCATTGTTTTTAAAATAGTTTATGGTTTCACGAAGTGTGCCAGCGACACGCACGGTGCCCAAATCTTTGCTGAATCTGGAGAAAAATAACCATAAAATGACTCTGGCCGTGGGACAAACGAGTCGTCAGCGCGTCGTAACTTGGCCAGAACCTCTTTGAAGAGGAGTCTTGGGGCTCGTCGAGGCCGACATGGCTTAAGTGAACGTCACTGGGCATCATTAGCTAATGGCACACTGTGTGGTTAAGTTGCAGTGATTGCGGAACGCCCGTGAGATGGGGCGAGAAGCCTTAATTATGATGATCGCAAATTACCCCACCGTGAGACCCACCTCGCAGGCCCGCCTCCGAGCAACAGCTCACGTCATTAAGCTACATTAGCCGCGTTCAAATTGAATATTAATTAGATCTATAGACACACATAGGGATCTCACGGTTTCAAGTGCGATACCAAAATACAGTATGTAAAGTCAGGATGTATTCATCCATGATACAGGTTTTTTTTGGGGGTTAGATCGCGTAAATGTAAATGTCGTTAAACCCGCCGCCACCACCCGACACAGCCGATTAGTAAGGTTTGTCACGGAAACAGAACACGTACAGCACATCAGTGTGTTGGAGAGCAAATCCACAACATTTACAATCTCTCCAACACACCGGTGTGCTGTACTAGTAACGAATTGGCATGTTCTGTTTACGTGACAAACCTTACTAATTGGCTGTGTCGGGTGGTGGCGGCGGGTTATATATTTGCGCGATCTGACCCAAAATAAACTGTATTATGGACGATAATGGTCGCGAAAGTCTACGTGTTAAACTCAGTATGTATTTTTTGCGCTCTCTAGCCCTGCCCCGGAGCGTGATTCCAGTCAATATTTAAACTGTAGCTTATTAATGCCCTCTTGGCAGAAGCCAGGGATCCTTTGCAATTCCCACAGAATTGCACAAAACTGTATTTCGGCGAAGTGGGTTCTACCTGTGGAGCAGTGGATCGGCAGACAGCGCACTGCGCAATGTTTAATTCCCGGTCACGGTGTAACATCGTCAGCGAGCAGTTGCCACCCCGTCCGGCAATTGGCATCCGTGTTTGGATGGCAGGAGTTGGTTTGTGCCGAGATCTGGCAAACCGTGCCGGCATTGCTGTGCCGAACTTAACTTGTAGATCACACACAGCATTGACGATAGACCTGGCGTCGACTCAGAAATGCGGCCGGGTTTGGTCCACAGTGGAACAGGTGGCAAATCCTTGCGGCAAGTGATATCAGAGCCAGCCTTAGTCTTTCTCTCTTCCCCATTCACCAAAGAGCGGCGACAAGGCATGGTGAAGTAATGGTCGAAACAGCCCCGTGACCGATAACCACTGGATAGCAACCTATGCTGTGATTGAGAAAAGATGGAACTATTTTTTTTTAGACAATTTTTATTTTATTGGGTAGTTCAAACACGTAGGGATGCAAGTACACACTGACAAAGACAACGATTCCCCCCCCCCCCATATATAGCTTTAAACACCCTTTTGGGGCAAGTCTTGTTCGCGAGCACCTATGAAGGCCAGACCGGCACGGTACACGAGTGGGTGGGTGTCCAGCACCACGCCCGGCCGCCTCCGTCTCCCTAGCAGCGATGTTTACACATCTCACCAGGTACTCATTTGAGGCCGAGTCGACCTAGGAGGAGGCCCAGAACCCGTAAGGTTCGTAGCGCAACTCGCTAAACCACTGGACCCGCCTCTCTCCCCGTTCACACACACACACACACGCACGAATAAGCACATCACTATCTATGCACAACGAATCCACGATATAAATAGGCGACATGATCTACATCAGCAGACGAGACATGTGCCTATCAGCCGTGCAGTGGCACCACCACTTTAAACCTTCCGGTCAAACCGTGAACCCCCTGTCCAAAAAAAAAACCCATCACCACATCTATTAAGTTTCTCAACACTCTGGCATCTAATTAGGCTGGGTGGGTTTATATATATAATGAGCTGTTACCATAATTGGACACGGGGGGGGGGGGAGGGGGTGCGATTTATAGAAATCAGGACTTGCAGCAATGCATGGAAGCGAAGGTTCCATTCCATACTCCAGGCTTGCTGTAAAATCGTTTGGCAGCTTTGGAGCACACGGCGAGCA